AAATAAGTAATATTAAAGGTATTCAGCTTATTTCGTTTAAGGTGATGGAGGACTGGTAGTAGAATTTTCCCACTATCATATGAGTTGAGCTGACGTTTCCATTCAATTTCGCATAATCTTGTTTTCCCAAAAGTTGTTCTCATCCAGGGTGGACTGCAGTTTCGACCTCGCTATGTGAAATTTAATGAAAAGTTCAGCTCAACTCATATAATTGTGGGAAAATTCTTCTTCTACCAGTCCTTCATCACCTTAAATGAACTTGGGCGAACACATCTCATACTACTGATTTACTGGTAGTGACGAAAACAACACTTAATTCGTAAAATATGTGGAATTGAATGGAAACGTCAGCTCAACTCATATGATTGTGGGAAAATTCTTCTTTTATTAGTCTTTCATCACCTTAAACGAACTTGGGCGAATACATCTCATACTACTGATTTACTGGTAGTGACGAAAACAATACTTAATTCGAAAAATATGTGTGAAATTAGATGGAAATACAAGATCTACTCTATTATTTGTGAGGAAAATTCATATATCTGATTTACTGGTAGTTTCGGAAACCTGCTTAAAAATGAAAACCTAGTCTACAAATGCTACTTACAAAATGGAAAAAAGGAGACCAACGCCTTAGCTCGAGTCCGGGCCGGAGAGTTAGCCGACCTTCTCAACCCCATTCCCTCAACAGATGGCATTTCGACGTGGGCCCCGCCTGCCTGTATCACTTTCATACAGACGGTCTTTTGTGCAATTTGGCCGAGACGAGAGGGCTTCTGTGCAAATGTGATCCGACCTGAAATGGACAACTTGACATTGTCAAGCCGCCAGTCTCACGACGCTTGACATCGACACTCCCCACTTGTCCTTCACGCTCTTCAAACGAAGCATAAACAGCGGGTCGGATCATCTTCCGAGTCGAAAATATATACATCAACCCGTTTGTCTCCTCCTCCTCCTCCTCTTAAATCCTTCCAAGCTGTCATTTCTCGACCGACACTCTGGCCATTCCATAATGTCCCCTTCCATTATTCTGTCCGGGCCGGACGGTACCGGACCACTCTGGCCAAAAGTTTGTGGCCCGTTTGGAGGCAAAATCACACACAGACACACAAACTGTATGCACAGACAGAGGACGGGAAAGGGGGCAGAACTGAGATTTCCTCGTTCGGGCCTATCAAATGCGCCAAGGCCAGCACCGTCTGGCCGCCCGATGGCTCAGACTTGCCTCCGCCCCTCGCGGAAACTGAATAATAATGTTTGTCCGACTTTTCCACTGAATGAACCCACACTCGATGATCAGCCAGTACATGCTTGCCCAAATTTGCATGTTAGATGCAAATTTTATTCATGCCTACCGGTCAGGAGGACAGTAAAAAAGGATGCGGGAACTTGTAGCATGACCGGAAAATTGTGTTATTTTTGCATGCCATAGCGTCTGTCGTGAGGCGATAGAAACAGCGCTTAAGGCTGATCCAGCCACCGAGACGGGTCGGCAAATATGGAGAGCGAAACAAGGCCACTTGGTCGACGTTGTCGAGCCGTTCAGATCGCACCACTTCGTTACCAATTAGAGCAACTGCAGTTGTGCGGCTTTTCCGGCTGCCTCGGTACCGAAATAAAGCAGATGTGGCTGGATTTCGAGGCATCGCGCGAGATAACAAGTAGTCAATGTGACTTTTTTATGTTCATTTCGATAAACTTCGTAAATTGACCTCTTTAGAGATCATATGTAACCATAGCACTAGTAGTGATATATATAACAGTAGATCATATATTTGAGATGTACTCGCATTAGTTAGCCTAAGATGCTAAGGTACTCACCACAAAGTTGATAAAAAGGACTAAAATTTTGCGATGAATCGTGCCCTCCCTGATCATGGTCGGAGCGAAATGTCTCAGGCGAATGGACATTTTCCAAAATTATAGCACATTTTGCAACCTCCTCCATAAATATGAATTCTCCGTGACTTTGATACACAGTTTTGACTACAGATAGTCTCGCGACCTACTTACAAGGCATATAAGTAGCTTGATTGTGGTAGTAGCCAAACATAATAAACGAGTGGTACTCGAATTTTTCCCATGATTATATGATGGAGCTCTAGGGTTCCATTCGATTTCACACAACCTTGCTCACAAAAAGGTATTCTAATCCAGGCTGGAGTAGATGGTAGTTGCCGTCTCGTCTAAACTGGCCTCCTCAGCACCCCTGGCGGGACTCAAACCCAGGTTGTGGTAGTGTAATGTATCTTCTCGACACGTTAATCATTAAGCTGGACTAGCACCACTGCCCATGGATCATAGGCTAGGTCAGAATTTCAAAGAAGATCAGGCATTTTGTAATATCACATTATGTGGTAGGATTGCCGATGAAGCAAAGTC